ATAACCGGAGTCAATAATCATGCAGATTTACGTTACAAACTTATAGAATTGTACAGTAAGAAAGTTATTTCCTTTAACCAGGAAATTAACGTTCTTAGAATTGACAAGACGGTTGACCCTGAGTGGTCAGCTAAATATCTACAGTGGATCTAAAATATGAATAGTTAATTATAACTAGTTATGGTTAATTATTCATATTTCCTGTCGTTGAGCTAAATTCGCTACATTGTAAATAAAAATTAATTAATTGTTAAGTTGTAAGAACCTTCCGACAATACTGTTTCTGGGTCTACTCCGTTTCAGCTGTGAATACTATGTCAGCATGAGCACTATTCATTTTTAGCACACCTTTAATCTTTAGTCTGTTACAGTCAATTATAATTCAAATTCAGTTGTTATTATTTATACTAAATGGAACTGTTTTGTCGATAATCGCTTCTCATTAGAAGTCTGGGGAAATGGTTGGTGCATGTTTTGTTCCCAAACTCACAGCGAAAATATTTAATTAAATCACAGCCCAAATTTGCAATTTGGTAATCGTACTAAGCCATAACACAATTTTGGATTTCTGTTGATTAATCATGCAGCTCCACTGTCTGGCTAGGTTTTGCTATTGAGATAAAAGATCATGAGGATGATTTTTTTCAGCAGTAATACAGAACAGTGTGAGTGTATGTTAGCACCGCTTGGACCCAGAAATGGTGACACATGACATCAGACATAATGACCGGTTAGACAAAAAGAACTTGTAGCCACCTACTGGTGTAACTATATGACATATCATGTGACTGAAAAATCTCTACCACTAATAAATGGACTGACAGCCTGTCTGCAATGTGCAAACACAGACAAGCGAAGTGATGTAAACACTGAAAAGATCCAGTGTTGTTGGACTAAATATGAATACTTTAAATGCTGTTTGGTCAATGTAATGTCAATGTAAAGACAGTAATGTAATATACAATGTAATATTGTTTGAATCTTGACTAAAATGGCTACAAATTGGATTAATTCCTGACTCAAGTCAAGAGGGAGTTCAATAACATATTGATGTGACTGGAATCTTGTGGCTCAATCAATGAAGGTCAGATGGTTGTCTAGATAGCTCCAAACCACTTTAACTCTAGTCAATGAGTGTGTGACCTTGTCAACTTTCAATAACACTGACTGGCTACAGCAACTGATTTTTATTTTTAAACAATGCTTTCTTGCTTTAAGTTCGGAATGAGTGGCTTGTTTAACAGAATATGTGATGTTCACAGATCAGTTTTTCATAGACCATATTTTCAGATTTTTTTGTAATATGTTAATTGCATTAATTGGGAATAGAAGCATTGTGGAAAAAAGGGCATAAATATGATTTGGTTAATATAATTTGTGTATGTACGTGAGAGTTTGTATGCATGGTTTATTTGTACACAATTTTGTATGACATTGGTCCTCATGATGATTACTTCATGTGTCCTTATAAACCAAATGACTTAAGAAACATTAAACAGTGCTTTTTTCCCCAAAATGTAAAAAAACAAACAAAAAACAAAGGACAAAAGGTTTCTGTGGAGGATTTTCTGTTTAGGGTTGGTTTAGGGGTAGGGGACAGAAAAGGCAAGTATGTGTGTGTGAATGTGATTATACAGTATGCATTTGCTTGTCCAGTGAACCAGAAATAGAGCTCAAGAGATGTCGCCTGGAGCTGCTGTTGACCAGAACAATGATATGTCTGTTCACAGGAGAGATGGCACTGACTCCCACTGACACCCAATACATATACACACACATCACAGAAGAGATAACACACCTTCTCTGTGCTGCATGTCCCTAATTAAACTCTCTGACATTTGTGTGCAAGAAAGATTTTCTGATCAAGACCGTGAGATCAGTATTTAAAGGGGTCATATGATGCGATTTCAATTTTCCCTTTGTCTTTGGAGTGTTACAAGCTCTTGATGCATAAAGAAGATCTGTAAAGTTGCAAAGACTAAAGTCTCAAATCCAAAGAGATATTCTTTATAAAATTTAAGACTTGTCCACGCCCTCCTAAAATGCCTTGTTTAAACGCCCCCACATGTCTACATCACAGTGTGAGAAGATTTGCATAACACCGCCCAAATGTTCACGCAAAGAAAGAAGGCATAACTTTTATTCTCGCTGTAGTATTGTTGCCACCGCCACCATGTCATGGAGACGCTTTGTGTTTCATTGTGAAAGCGAAACTACTTTGTTTGGCCTTCCAAAAGAGGACGATATCTGCTTCGTCATGCCTGGAGCTGATCCGTGCTGGTCGCTGAGGAAATACTTCAACTTCGCGCTGTGGATCGCCGGATCGGCTTTCACCGTGGACCAAGCGGAGTCCAGTCCGGGGTCGTTACATGTGGTTGTAGCAAGCCTCCTTCGTCAAATCCGCCGGGCGCCGCTCACTCAAGCCGCTGTGTGTTTCGTTGTGAAAGCGAAACTACTTTGTTTGGCCTTCCAAAAGAGGACATAATGTTTCTATAAATGGGGCAGTTCCAACTTTGCAAGGACAGTCTGGCGCTTCTCACTCACAGCCTTGTAGCGAATCAGCACAAAGGGGAAATATGAATAATTAATCATAACTAGTTATAATTAATTATAAATATTTAGATCCGCTGTAAGTATTTACTTGACCTCTCAGAGTCATCTGTCTGTCAATTCTAAGAATGTTAATTTCCTGGTTAAGGGAAATAACTTTCTTACTGTACAATACTACACAGAGCCTGTAGCATAAATCTGCATGATTAGGGACTCCAGTTATGAGCAAACAATGAACAACGTCAAGTGTGATACAAGTAAGACTTTATTAACTACATAAACACTTAAACTAGTCTAACATACACACACACACACGCATACAGTTGGTATAGGAACAGGATTAAAGCTTAGGCAGTAAAGAGAAGATAAATAAAGCATGAAGCTATGGGACCATTGGATATTCAGCATATCTACAGCCTGAAAGAAACATCAGCTTCTTAGTTCAAACACACCTTTGTAAAAAGGTGCAAATGATACTTACTGTATCAATTAATAAGACTAAGTTTGATACTTGCATGTCTTGTCTGTCTGACAGAGAGTCCTGATGCAATCTGAAGGCTCAAGTTGATCTTTGCTGAAGTTGGTTGATGGAAAAGAACCAGTTTAAGTCAGATTATCTTGATGAATGGAAAGTCAAGGCCCGAGGCCTGGCGCGAATTTAGGGTGTCCTTAGGAGCGTTCTAGCTCACATCTTCTCAGAATCTAACAGAAACTCAGACAGGAGGCGGGTCACTGATGTGAGGCCTTTAAGGCCTGACAAGATTCACGCCTCTCAGGATGAGCTTGTCCAATGAGAAAGGCTGAAATTCCAAGTGGGAGTTTGGAAATACTGGGGAGTATTATGACCCTTCGTGTGAAAGCATGGTAATTTGCATATGGAACTTGAATCGAAATTACTAAAGATTCTCAGAACACTAATATATTGCCTATGTACCATCATATAATATACACTCTTGTTTATATCATCAGAAGACGAATTCATAGATACTAAACATGGTAGGATTACATATAGGTAAGATGACAGGAATGGTTCCATCATAAGCCTGCATAAAACAGTATACATTATAAAAGACAATATACAAGGACAGTAACAACATACACAATGACCTGAATGATATGTGTGTTCATTCAAAGAAAGGTTTTCCTCTGAATTAATTAGAGAAGAGGCCATTTTTACTTTTCCATTTTTACTGCATTGTGTCTTTCCTATGGAAAATGTAGTGAGTTTCTCTACCCACATTCCTTTGGGCAATAAAACCAGTGATATCAGCATTGGTTGCCATAGAATCAGAGGCCTATTCTGTCTTTCTGAGGTGTCAAGATGCATTTCGGGGGAAGGGTCCATAGGCCCTCATATGGCTTGTTAACTGAGGGGTGTTACAGGGTGTTTGTTAAATATAACTAACAAAATATATATTGTGTGTCTGATTGGTCCAGACGCTACAGCCTGTAAGTAAGTTTTTTATATAAAGGACTTGCCATTGATAATGCGAGTTTTGAGCAGTGTAGAGTAGCGCTTGTTGTTTGTCATTTCTCCGATCACAAATGCAGACATGGTTTTATGTTTACGCGGCGCAATACGCAATGCAAAGCATAAAAACACAGTATAAGTCATTATAATCAGTAATTATGTCCCCACTGGATGCAACAAATGCCTCGTTTGTAATGGGTTTGATTGGTTTTGTCTCGTCGCGCCGGGACACGGCATCACAGTATGTTAAAGGGCGTAACATTTCCGTCACACGCTTGAGGTATTCAGCCAATCACAACGCACTGGATAACTGGCCAATCACAGCACACCTCGCTTTTCAGAACGATGAGCTTTGTAAAAATCGACACGTTTCAGAAAGGCGGGGCATAGAGGAAAAACAATAATGTGCATTATGTGGAAAATAATGTGTTTTTTTTACCTTAAACCACATAAACATTTCATTATACCAAATACACAAAATAATGTTATTTTTAGCAACATCATATGACCCCTTTAAACTTATTAAATTGATTTAAATAGCCTTTGTTTCACCCATGTACATCAGTGTGGCATTTGAATTAATTAATTTCATTTATTTAATATTTTTATTTTCATATAGTCATTATTTCATTAATAAAACAAAGGTTAGTGGAAAAGAGATGGCTTTGCTCCAACAAATATTCCTTGAAAACATTGGTGTGTAAGAAATAATCTACTGGGTGACAGGGTGATCAGGACCCTGAGCGCAAGATTGTCCCTCTTATTACATGGCTGCTTTCCAAATATATAAATGCACATGAAATATTGATTTGAGTATAAATTATTTTATTTTGTGGGAAAGATAACAGGGAGTGATACAAATGACAAGAAACTAGCTCAGCTATGTTGGAAGTCAGTTGGAAATCATTAACCAGAATCAAAAAGATTGATAAAATACTAATAATCAGTGATGTTCTTTCTTGTTTCTTTGTCTTCACAGCTTGCAATGTAACCATTCATAACCGCTGTCGTGACACACTGGCCAACTGCGCCAAAATGAAACAGAAGGTAAGAGTCAATAGAGGGGGGATAATTAACGAATGATCATAACACTGAGCTGGTGACCAAATGTTTGTCTATTTGGCATATAAAATGTAAAATTACAGATTCGCATTGGATGAAATGTTATTATATTTTTGTATTAAAGGCAACAATGTGATCAGATATGCAGGAAGCTAGTGTTTTTATGGAATCCAATAATACTGACTGATAAATGCCAACTAATTGTCTGTATTAACTAACAGTTAATGGAGTAGACTTTCATAACATACTGACACCTAGAGGTAGCAGCGAAAACCCTAGTTAAAGGGTTAGCTAGTTCACCCAAAAATTTTAATTCTGTCATTTACTCACTCATGTTGTTCCAAACCCATATGACTTTGGTTAGTCTTTAAAACACAGATGAAGAAATGTTTATATAATGAAAACAGAGATTTCTGTCACACTGTGTTGTGATACGTAATATGTGGTGTTACGCAATACGTACATGCGTGTACCGGAAGTATCTGTATAGTTGAACATGTGTTGAGCACCTAGAAAAGAAGTTCATACCAACTTATAATGTCGTCCAGTAATACTTCATGGTGGTCATCCAGAGTGTTCGTGATCAGTGAAGCGGAAACTTATTATGCCGCGAGTCACCAATGTGAGACTGGGAAGAAGCACATTGTCTACGTGATAACTGCTAAAAGGTCCAGAGTAACGTGACAACAAAACATGGAAATAAACGACTGCTTTTAACGTGAGTACAAGATAAACGCAACAAAATGGCATCACATTTACCGATGATGAACACCCGATTTGAGTGAAGCAATGTCTTTATTCAAACAAAAAAATGAATATGTACCTGGACGATGAAGAGATAACAGATGCAGAAAAACAAGCTAGGAACATTTGTAGAGGAATTGGAGATGAAGGATTGAAACGACTCAATGCAAGTGGGCTCAGTGATGCAGATAAGAAAAATCCTGACATCTTGTGGAATTTTTTTGAAGGACAACTCAAATTAAATGTGAACTTTAGAATTCACAGGCTCCATCTCATGCAATACAGGCAAAGACCAAATAAGAGCATTGATGACTTTGTGACTAGAGCCAGAACTTTAGCACTAAAATGCCAATTTACCGACAAGGAGCTTAATGAACATCTCATTGAGCTTATCATTGCCAGTACTCCTTTTGATGCTCTCGGAAATGATCTCTACAGTAAGCCCAAAGGCCATCCCATTGCTGACGTACTAGCAGAGTGGAGAAAGTATGAAGCCTTAGCAGCTGGAAACGAACAGGTACACAGCTTGGCATGTCAAACACTGAAAAGGTCCATACTATAACAAGAGGACGAACATGTCAAAACTGTGACATGAACCACAAGCCAAGACAGTGTCCGGCATACAATGATGCATGCTCTATGTGTGGTAACAGAGGCCACTGGGCAAAGTGTTGTAAAAAGAGCAGACGACAAAGACAGCTATCCAACCAGCACAGAAGGAGTAAGTCATGAACATGCAACAGATACCAAAGCCACATCAACCCAAGGAAAGACTACAAACACAAAGATGAACCCAGCATCGATGTTGTAGATAGCATTAAAGATGATGACGAGTATGCATACCAAAAACACTTTTACTCCATCACTATCAGTGCAAAGTGCATGCACAGCATCCATGTGAAACCACCCAGGGATGAGGCATATACAACTCTGAATGTTAAACCACCCCTCCTGCAAGGACATGGATATACGCTTCGCCTGAAAATAGATACTGGAGCATCTGGAAACACACTTCCACTTCGTACATTCAAGCAGATGTATGGTACATCAACACAAAGCATGGAATATCTTAAGCCAGCATCCAATGTAAAACTAACATCACACACTGGTGATGTAATTCCCTGCTTCGGAACTATCAGCATGCCATGCCAGTACAAAGAATCCAGATGGATAGATGCAAAGTTTTACGTTGTTGATGTACCTGGACCAGCTGTGGTTGGCCTACCCACACGCGAGCTCCTCAGTCTTGTGACAGTAAATGTTGATGTGATGGCGGAAAAAGAAAACAATGTGAAGGTGGGAAGACAAACAAACGAGAGTACCCGACAACACATAAAAAGCATCAAAGAACTGAAAGAGAAATACCCAAACCAATTCGATAAAATAGGCAGTTTCAAAGGCACAGCAAAGCTCATCCTAAAGGAAAGTGCTAATCCATTCATTGACACTCCACGTAAATGCAGTATCCACGTCAAAGACAAACTTCAAAATGAGTTGAACAAACTTGTTAATCAAGGAGTCCTGCGAAAAGTTGAAGAGCACACGGATTGGTGTTCCAGCCTTGCCTTCAGCACAAAGAAAGATGGGTCTCTTCAGATCTGTTTAGACCCACAGAAACTGAATGCAAGCCTGAAGAGGTGCCCTCACAAGATTCCGACACTGGAAGAACTCAACACAAAATTTGCAAATGCAAAAGTCTTCAGTAAGCTAGACGCAACAGCCGGATACTGGTCGATACATCTTGATGAGGATTCACAAATCCTAACCACGTTCCGTACTCCTTTTGGCAGATACTGCTGGAGACGCTTACCATTTGGTCTCAGTGTGTCCCAGGACCTTTTTCAAGCTAAAATGGACCAAATTCTGGAAGGTCTTCACGGTGTAATCAGCATAGCAGACGACGTTGCAGTATGTGGAGTTGACGAGAAGGATCATGACAAGAACCTAACAAGCCTAATGGAAAGAGCTGCAGAAACTGGACTTGTGTTTAATAGCGACAAGTGTATCATCAAGCAGAAGAGCATATATTTTTTTGGCCAGCTGTACACAGACAAAGGCATCAGACCAGACCCAGCCAAAGTCCACGACATACGGAAAATGCCAACGCCACAAAGCAAGGATGATCTCCATCGATTTATGGGCATGATGAACTATACCTGTCACCCTACTTTCTGAAGTTTGCAGATAAAGCCCACAATCTGAGAGGACTGCTAAACGCGACTCACAGTGGATTTGGGACAGTGATTACCAGAAGTGCTTCGAAGACCTAAAGACAACTGTGACTGTTGATGCTTGCTTAAAATACTACAACCCCGCAGCCACCCTCACATTGGAGGTAGATGCATCACAGAGAGGCATTGGTGTAGCACTGGTGCAAGACAACAGTGTGACGAGTGGGGGCAGGGCCAAGAGCCGTGGGAACGGAGCGAGGCCAGTGGAGTAACAAGGATTGTGACGTCAGGGTTTAGGAAGCCTCGCGTTGACTTCAAGCAAAGCAGACAAGCGCTTTCCCCGGACGCGAAAGGACCGAGCCGCTCTCCTCCCGCGGACCGACGCCAGCATGAGTCCACCGACACCAACCTGAAGGACAAACACAGCAGAATGGCCGCGTATCTGGAGATAGCTGATGACAGCAAAGGGCACGAACTGAGTCTTTTCTGTGTGCCGAAACACTACGAAGAGGATTTGGACAGTGTCATAATACCCAATAGCCTCATTAAGGGCAGGACTGAAAGGTTGGCCAGAGATATCGTTCGGGACATGGGTGGGCATCATATCGTGGCCCTTTGCATTCTGAAAGGAGGGTACAAGTTCTTTGCGGACCTGATGGATTACATCAAGACATTGAATCAAAACAGAGATAAATCTGTGCCACTGACTGTGGATTTCATCAGACTAAAGAGCTACTCGAATGATCAGTCTACAAACTGTGTGAAGGTTATCGGTGGAGATGAATTATCTGCCCTTACTGGCAAAAATGTGCTCATAGTAGAGAGACGAGAGACCGGTGAGTGGTGCAGGTGTCGCTCATTATCAATTACTCCACCGGCCTCGCTCCGTTCCCACAGCTCTCGGCCCCGCCCCCACTCGTCACAAACAGGTCCATTGCTTTCGGTTCAAAAACACTAACTGAATGTCAATCAAGATACAGCAACATTGAAAGAGAAATGCTTGCTATTGTGTATGGTATGCAGCGATATCACACATACTTATATGGCAAATCATTCATTGTGGTATTTATTGAAAGACATGTGAGACACATTAAATCCATCATCAAAAAACAATACAACACAAAGGAGATGTACAAGTAGCCTTGTTGCAGGCGCGAGCGACGCCCATTGACAGTGATCTACCATCTCCTGCAGAATTGCTCCTTGGCAGACCTATCACCACACCTCTACCAAGTCATGCAGATCCAGGGAAACTGGAACACAGACAACACCTGGGGAAAAAAATCAACAATGATGAAAACACATTATGATCAGTGTAGGGGTAGAGACTTACCTCCACTGTTCCACGGACAGTGTGTAAGAGTGCTGGACAAGGAGAGGAGAACATGGCACCCAGGGAATATTGTGGAAAAGTGCAGGGAGCCACTTGGTTCAAACACCAAATGGAAACACAATCAGACGTACCAGGAGCCATCTTCGTGAGATGTATGCAACACAAACACAGAACATCCAGAAGAAAGTGCAATTCGCCGAAACACCTAAAAGAGATGTGGTTGAAAAAAGCCACAAAGATACAGTCGAAAGAAAAATCACTCAACCTCTTGAGACAGCAGTACCAACATGCACAAGGTCTGGACGAATCATAATTAAGCCAGTGCAATACAAGGAATATGTGTAAAGCTGAATGAAAAGTTAAGCAGAAAAAAGAGTTCCAAATATGGACTGAATGTTTATTTCTGTTGTTATTTTATTAATGTTCATTACTGTTATAATGTGCACTCCACTGAAAAAAAAAAGCCTGGAACGTCTTATTGTTTATGGAATATATATATTGTTGTCATGGTTGTCTGAGATGTTTACACTCTTATGTTAAACAGGGGGGATGTTGTGATACGTAATATGTGGTGTTACGCAATACGTACATGCGTGTACAGGAAGTATCTGTGTAGTTGACCATTTGTTGAGCACCTAGTAAAGAAGTTCATACCAACTTATAATGTCGTCCAGTAATACTTCACACTGTAGCTCAGGGGTTCTCAACTCGGGCTGTCGAGGTCCACTTTCTTGCAGAGATTAGCACTAACCTTGATGAAAGTCAACTGCCTGTAATTTTCTAGTCAGCCTGAAGACCTTGATTAGCTTGTTCAGATGTGCGTTATTAGGGTTGGAGCTAAATTCTGCAGGAAAGTGGATCTTGAGGGCCAGAGTTGAGAACCCCTGCTGTAGGTACTTACGGCTGAGAATAAGTAAGGAGTACTCCCAGTATTTGTAACTAGGACTTCTGTTTAACTTGATTTCATTTAAATTAAGGAGTTTAGGATATTTTGCTAATCATATTATATAACATTGCCTAGTTTCTCAACTTGTTGAATCTGTGTGATTATTTAATTGCATTAATTCATATGAAATCATATAACATATTAATGAATTGTTGCAACAGAGGCTGGCTCTGGTCAGGAACACTGCAACTTTACATAATGTGGCCCTCCGCAGCAAAAGTGAGTTTCTCTCTTTCATATCTCACATCTTTTTATCTAATATTTATAGCAATTTTTTTTCTCATGACCGATTCCTGTCACTAATTCCTAATGATAATAACACAACTTCTTTAAACCAATATCTTGTTGAGCAGTTGCAGTACCGGCTGTAGTGCCATTTGATGTGGAATTTTGATAGTTACAGTATGTTGCAGTGTTGGTTAAACAGTATCTTCTCATTAAAGAAAATATTTTATTCAGGAATGTGTTTTCCTTTGCCAGATCCAATACTGAAGGAAAGGCCGAGTTCAGCCATTTACCCATCAGAGACACTGAGACAGTCTTTCCTCGGTTCCCGCAAGGGACGCTCCACACTGTCACTCAACAAGAGTGTTTCCACCAATAACATTGCAGGGTAAAGAATCTGATCACTGATCACAGACATGAACAAAGTGTGTTAAATATGTTCATTTTTGTGTGTTGTATTAAGAGGAAAGATTACTTATCTATTAGTGTTTTTGAATTAAATATCATGTCAATGATATTCATAAAGTTTTTGTAATGACAGAGTGACGTCATGTGAGTTAACTTAAAGAATGAACTGATGAAAGGTCGCTAAACACAAAGTCTTTGTGGCTCTCCAACAGTGTTCGGCAGCAGCATCTCTGTAGCAAACACCTTGCTACTCTGAAATGTCACTTAGCTTTTCAGTTGCGATGTAATTTTATTGATAAAAGGATAGTACACCCAAAAATGAAAATTCTGTCATTAATTACTCACCCTCATGTCGTTCCAAACCCATAAGACCTTCGCTCATCTTCGGAACACAAATTAAGATATTTTTGATGAGATCCGGGAGCTTTCTGACCCTCCATAGACAGCAACACAACTACCACGTTCAAGGCCCATTGAGATTTACTCAAATATACAACAAAGGATTTTAAGACTCCCTATTTGCTACCTTTGCTGCTTGGCCACTAATTTTATGAAATCTTGTTTACCATAATGTACATTGTTACATGAGAGTTATGTTTTTACAGCTCCTGTACAAAGTCCTCATGCTTGCTTGTTTTTGATTTTCTAACAGAAGTCTAAATGATGATTCTCCTGTCGGACTGAGGCGGATTCTGTCTCACTCCACAGACTCTCTGAACTTCAGGAACAGAGCCATGTCCATGGAATCCCTTAACGATGAAGGTACAACTCAAGACATTCACAAAACAGAATGAAAATGGGAAGGCATATATAAAGTTTGCTGTTCTCACAAACATTTTACAGGAGAAATGTATTATGCATCAATGTTGGAGGAACTGGAGAAGGATGGGAAGGATTTTGAGGCAGATTCCTGGAGTCTGGCTGTGGACTCTTCTTATCTACAGTCTCAACGCAAAGACGTCATCAAGAGACAAGACGTCATATATGGTAAGACTTCTTTTATTTTTCAGACCTTTTTAAAGTCATGGACCTTTGGACACATTTATACTGTCAGCTAGTTCTGGGATGGATCTTATGTTGTTACATGCATGCAAACCTCAAAACACTTACGAGAATAGATGTTTGGTATCTGATTTGGGTTGCTTAGTAAAGCATATCTAAATGCAGTCCACACCTGATTAAATCTTAAACACTTATATCTGATTCTCCTCTTACTTTTCTCGGCATTTCACAACACATCAGTTGTTGATTGCACTGGAATTTCTACATATGAATAATGAAGGGAGTATGCATGTTACACCATTGGCAAGTGAGCAAGAAGTGTGTGGGCGATTAATATTATATGATTTGATGTAGTTATTTACTACATCAATTTCATAAGGTTGCACAGTTGCGTAACATGTGAAGTGATCCACTGCGCAAATAAGTTTTGGGTTTGGTGAGGTGTTAAGGTCTATTCACATTGAATGTAAAATAAAAATGCTGGAAGAATTGAATCAGAAAGGTGAGAGAACAATGTGGACTGCTCTCCATGTCAGTGTTTCCCAACCTTGGTCCTGGGTCATCCCCAACTATATACCGTCTCTCTTATCCAACACATTCAAGATATTTATCTCTGTTTACAAGCTGGTGAGTTAAATCGTATGACTAGAAACAGACAAGACAAAAAAAATGCATAATGTGCATAATCCTTAGTGGAGAAGCATCCTTTGTACTATCAGGTACTTTGTACTGTAATGTCTGTGATTTTTGATAAATCAATGCATCTGTGTTTTTCAGAGCTGATTCAGACAGAGCTAAACCACATGCGTACGCTGCGGATCATGGAGGGGGTGTTTCGCAGAGGAATGCTGGAAGAAGTGTTGATGGAGATGGGTGTAGTTCACGCCATCTTTCCCTGCTTAGATCAGCTGCTGTCTATTCACTCCAATTTCCTGAGCCAACTACTGCAGAGACGAAACAATAGCCTGGCACCCAGCAGCACCCGCAACTTTACCATTCAAAAGCTGGGAGATATTCTGGTGGAGCAGGTGAACTTCTGACATACAGCTCACATAAGGATAGTTGGTACTTGCTATAGCAATTACAGTTATTAATGCAAAATTAATGCAACTAACCATAAACCAAACCCTAATCCTATGGTTGTCCTATGTTGTTAATAATTATTTGGCCAAAAAGCACATCGCTCCTGCAGCACTCTTTGAGGATTGCCGTATAGAACTGTTAATGTTAAATTGACTAGTTCAAATTAAAGAACAGATGTCGTAAGCCTGCAATTTCCTGCCAAATGCCGACCGACAGCTCAAAATTTAAATCAGTATTGTAAACTTATAGAAGTGAATCAGAAAAGTATATTTTTTGTGATCAACTTTTTATTGTCTTTCAAACAAAATAAACAAAATAACATAATTGGAACAAACATTCAAGAAAGAAGGAATAACAGACATATTGTCAATAATTTGACAGCCAGAAATGAAAGAGAGAAAATAAACAAAGAACACAGATTTAAGCACTCTTTCAATAATGGAAGTCTCTTCATTTTTGACCAACAAAATCTTCCATAGTGTATCTTCACTATAGAGTGAAGGGGTCCTGAATAAACCTGCTCAAAGAACTGACTCGACAGATCTTTGGTAGCAACACCCTGCTCAGAAATGTATCAACAGAGATACATTAGTATAACCCTTACCATACAGGATTTTAGAAAGTGCGCAGAATGCTTAGCGTGCACACTTACCACAATGTGGAATTTTGAAAGTGCACAGAGGCTTAGCGTGTGCACTTACCATAGCATGGATTTAGAAACCCCATTGCTTAAGGGGTAACCGAGGCTGTATTAAGCCAGCCTAGGGGCCCTATGTGATTGTGGCATGCTCACAAAACAGATTCCGAAGCATCTGCTCACAGATGCCCAGAAGGGAGCAGCGCGCTTGCAAGAGGCCCTTTATGATGAGGGGAGCACAGCTAGCTCACTTAACAAGCGTACCGCCATGGAGGCAGGCGATGGCCTAGCCACCTGGCATGATTTGTTATACAGAGCTCAAAAGAGCAGAGGCCCAACTTCAAAAATAGAAGAGGGACTCGACGCTCAGATCGAGAGGGGCGTGCTCATATGAACCCCCAAGGGCATTGCTAAGCTCGACCCCAAGGAGAGCGGCTCAACAGGAAGGCGGAGAGAGGCCTAACAACCTGAGGCCACTACTCAGTGGAGCTCAAACGTGCAGAGGAGAGAGAGGTCCACAAATACTCAGACGGGAGCGGCAGGCTCAAAGACAACCCTCTGAGGTGAGGGAAGCACTGCCTGGCTTAACCCTCATAGAGGCAGCTTATCAAGGAAGCAGCAAGCGGCCCAACTACCTGATATCACTGCCACAGAGCTCAAGAGTGGAGGGTTCAACCCCTAGCAAGGAGAGAGAGGAACCCAGCTCGACCAAAGCGACCAATAGCCCAGAGTAGAGGACCTAACTCTCGAGTCGAGAGGAGGACTCACCCAGTCTGCCCAGGACCGTCGCGCTCAAAGGGACCCTCCCGCAGTGAGGGGAGCACAGTCATGTCCAGGGGCAGATAGATCGCAAATGGGACATCAGAAATGGGATCCTGCAAGAAGGGGATCACACATTTCTAAGGGAACAACAGGGTGCCAACATAAAGGCAACTGACCAAGGAGGTGACAGAGACGGGCCTAACACTTAGTTTGTTGCAAATGGGGTTCTTTGGGAGCAGCGCTCTCGGCTCTCAAGCTGAGGCGGGCCCTTACAGTACATACTGGGAGCGACTCATAGCTAACCCTCACAGAGAGGGGAGCACTTCTCAGCTCGACCAGAAGGGGGTGCTAGATTAAAAGGGGTAACCCAGCAGGGCCCAATAAGGACATTCCACTGGTGCAGCTGGACATGGTCTCATGCTCTCTATCTCGATAGAGAGCATGGGTCCCGTAAAACCAGACCCGATAGAATCGGAAGAAATAGCGGGACCCAATAACCATTCATGTGTATTGAGCTTACTGCTCCTCAGAGCAGAAGCACAAAAGAGGGGTTTCCACAGAAACACAAATCCCTCTTACCTCAGGGAACGCAGTATACTCCAGCCCACTCCGCAGAGGGGTGATTACTGGTTCAACCATAAGGGCAGTGTGACAGTGAGGACCCATGGGCCTGACCGTCTATGGAGCGTTGAGCTCCTCAATGCCTCAGCGAGAGGAACTCTAACTCAGAGAATGTGCATGAAGGTTAAGGAATGACTGAAATCTCGGGAGACCCCTCAGGGTGAGAAATGAGTAGCGCACCATGGCCAGAGAACAGGGAGCATGTCACGAAGCATGTACTCAGAAGAGTACTAGCCCACGAGAAGGACCCGCAGGTCCTGAGGTTGCAGCGTTATACTGGGGTCCTGATGCTGGGAGGCTTCCTCAGAAGCCCAGGCTGCGTGTCCAAGCCGAAGATGAGCGCTATCACCAGCCTGGATCCAGAACCAATGAGTGAAACCATCACTGTAATCGGTCAACAGCAGGAGGTCCTGACTTAGCAGGTGGGTCAAACCTAAAAGTCGGAAAACAGAACAGGTCCGAGTAGCACTGCAGAGAAAGGCTAGCATTGAATACACAAGAACTTGCGTATTGGATCGTACTCACCAACCATGGCTCCAGCGCATGACTCAGGCTCATGGATATAGGCTGGAGGCGAAGTCCGAAGCCTGGACCTTCGTGGAATGAAGGATTTAATGGCAGCCGAGTGCGTCTTGGCCTCCTTAAACTTCATGACCACCATCTCGATGGAAGTGCCGAAAAGCTCAGAAGGGGAAACCGGCGCATCAAGAAGAAAGCTCTTCTCTTTCAACCCGATACCCACCAGACTCAACCACAGATGTCTCTCCGTAACCACCATGGCCGCTATGGATCTGCCAATGGCAGTGCTTAGTGGCACGGAGAGCAAGATCCGTGGTGCGACACAACTCTTTCAGCAGGTCTTTCAGCAGATCAGCCTGATAAGCCTGAAACACCGCCATGGTGTGCAATGAGGCTGCAGCCTGACCTGCTGCCGCATATGCCCTGCCACTCAAACGAGATGTATCCTGAAGGGGTTTGGACAGTAGGGAGGGAGCCTTAAGAGAAGATGTCTCCCCCATAGAGAGAAAGCAGGCCAGCGTCTCTTCAACAGGGGGCATCTTTTCACCATTCTCACGTATCCCCTCGATTTTGGCATAACTAGTATGCTGGAATCTGTGGATGCGGGACGAGAATGGATTTTTTTTCAAGCCTTCTCGATCTCCACATGAAGATCGTGAAGGAATGGAAGGCTCACCTGAGCTGGAGGGCTATGGCTAGAAAAAAAACGCTCATCGAGATATCCTTTCTTGGCCCGCTTCCACAGCAAGTCGAGCCTCGCCGTGGCGCGATCCATAACCTCAAGCAGCTCATACGCGGGGCAGGAGGGGTTAACTTCAAGCTGCAGTGCAGTATAATGTGGTTATCTGAGAAGGACATGATATAAATCATCTGTCCAACAACTGCAAACAGATCCACACTATACAAACAAAAGGAAATTACTGATAGGGAGAAATTTCCCATCAGGTCCTTTCCATGTTCTCACCGTGACTGCAACGCGCAGCATGCATTCAGCTTCCACGGGAGCTAAACACGCTCCGCCCAAATGCTAGATTACCTCGGAAATCAAACGAGAACGGAAACCGCTGCTGCAAATGCGTCGCTATTCCTGTGAGAGGCGAATGCACTCATGCAAACGCTATCTACAAACTCGGGTAAATGGTGAAGTACTCACCTCCCCCTCAGTAGTCCTGCGAATGCATCACGATGAACACAAGCCGTCTCCTCGTGACACGAGCGCGTTCAGTTCATGCTTATGCCTCACAAGAAGTAAGCAATGAATGCAGAGCGCATCCAACTCCCTCGAGAGCTGAACGCGCTTGCTCTTCACCACACACACACAGCACGCGAGCCGAGTGAAACTGCAGACATCAGAGCAAAGCCTCTGGCAAGAGAACATGCACTCCTAGTCGTGCTTAGCTTAACACTAACATAAATAAACGGTCAGTGAAGACGAAGAAGAGAATGACGTGTTATCCCAGCGCCCTTTTATGCTGTGATTGCGCAGAGTGATGGCATCATAGGCTGTCGCCGGCCAATGTTATTGATGTTTTTAGATGTATGCTTCAGACACCAGTCACGCTGAAGGCACTCCTCATAGCGACCCCTAGAGGACGCAGTTCGAAGTTCCCTCGAAAGGGAACTTTAACCGCCAACTGCTGTTAATCATGGCTGCTGGAAGTGCATTCATCAAACATCAATTCAAACAAGTTATCAGCATCTTCCTCTAATATGATATGGTACATTTCGGGTTTCTGCATATATTTCAGATTTCTGCATTCTGCAAATATGATCTGTATGCTTGCCTACCTACAGGTGTTTGGTTGTGAGGTTGCAAGTATTGCATACAATATTAATAACTCCCTCAAGTGCCACGTTCATAATGCGGTAAATTCCCACTCTCATTTACTTAGAGAGATGCGCGATCTGCACTACCACATCTCTCCATTGTGCATTCGGCAAATAGACTGCAGCAGTCACTTGGAGAAGTCGTTGATGCTTGTTGACTCTTAATGAGTTTGAGCGCACGCTGTCGAAAAGTGTGTTAGGAACACACTAAATCGCTTGGATATAATGTACTAAAATTGAGGACCAATGCAACTTATTGATGACCCATGGCGTTAAAATACTGCATCTGTGTCAGCGCGTGATTTAATAAAACCGCAGCTCGTTAATAAACAACGTTTTTTGTTTGATCTCTTTTATACAACCCGCCCTCATTTAGCAAGTGCACTCGCGCAAAAACAATTTTCAAGTTCAACACTCTTTGTCCCATTCAGTTGTGGATGCTGCTGATTCACCGACACCGCCACGGCCCAGCAAAGAGACATGCGTTTGCGTGTGTGTGTGTGTGTTTTCTTTTGAAAAATTTCCCCGGAAATATCCCTATTTAATGCAATTATCAGCATAAAAGTTTGAGTAAATGTGTAAAAGGTAGGGGATGCCATCCTTCTAGAACAATGTGCATTTATGTTTAAATTGTAACAAATTATCATGTTTAGTGATTCTCATTTCTTTATCGCAAAACGCTAAAACTGGCACCGTTTTGGAGAGAAATGGGCTCTTATTAATCTCTCATTTTAACCCATATCATGGTGTGTGATGCTGAACTCTCATATGAGTTCTAATGTTTTTTTTATTCTTTGCACTGTTCTAAACATTAATATTTTATGCTCTGTCTCAATTGCCTTACACTTGTTTCTAAATCAATTTTTTCAAAATGGTGATGATTGTAACTTTCATCTTTTAATCATTTGAATAGTTTTTCCGTATTGTTTTGATGTTTTTGAAAGAGTTGGCAGTCAAAATTAAAACTGCTGGATAATAGATATTCTTCATTCTTTCTGACAAACAAGATAATATGAATTACAGTATGTGCAATGTTTTCTGAATGTTTACATTGCAGTGTATAGCATTTATTATAAGGGGGTAGAATCCACAGCTCAGTACTCACTAGTGCTTTTAAATAAGCTACTCTTTTACTCTTACTCAAGTAGTTTTTTGGACAAGTACATTTTACTCTACTCACACTACATTTTATGGAATGTAATTGTACATTTACTTGAGTATATTTTTTCAGTACTCTTTCCACCACTTCCACTAAACATATTACTGTAGTCAGTAAATACTATATTGGAAAACATGGTCTTATAATTTGTGATGTAAATATCAAAAGTGAATTTGTGGAATATCAAGAATTGCATTCTGAAGCATATTGCATAATGCTTTTTTTAGGGTCATAATTTAAACAGGCATAGAATTTTCTTTATGTATGTATTTTTTTTGCCTCAGCAGTTTTAATAGATATAAACATGGGCTAAACATTCTCCTATGGGCACAGTAATACCTTGCACCCTTCAAGGCGCTTAGTTCAGTTGTTCCTACTGAGTGAGTAGACCTTTACTGGAATTTTCTTTGCTTCAGTTCTCAGGTCAGAGTGCAGAAGAGATGAGGAAATGCTATGTTGAATTCTGCAGTCGACACCTGAAAGCTGTCAAACTCTATAAGGAGCTGCTGGCCCGCGATAAGAGGTTCCAGCAGTTCATACGGGTGAGGGTACAGCCAGAAAAAGACATGCTTGTCAGCATAAGGTTTCAGTTATATTTTGTTGTTGTTTATTGCCTAGAATGTTTTTAATAAAATATATTTTTTAATATTTGTTTTACTGTCAAGCGGGTATGCAGAGGTTCTTTACTGCGTCGCCATGGTGTCCAAGAGTGCATCTTACTCGTCACTCAACGCATCACTAAATACCCTGTACTTATCAAGCGCATACTAGACAATACTAAAGGTGAGACTATACTCTGACATGTACTCCAATATTACAGCCAGTCCTCGTTTGATCTTGTAAAACTATAGTCTGGCCAAACTGAATTCTTGTTTTGCACTGCATGATTTTGTTTAATGTATAATGTAATATATATATATATATATATATATATACACCTTGCTACGTGTACTGCGTTAGGCTAACCGAGACTTGTCATTTGCTATACATATTGTTGCTCTTTTGTTAGTTTTGACTGCTTTTATTGTCCTCATTTGTAAGTCGCTTTGGATAAAAGCGTCTGCTAAATGACTAAATAAATGTGCAATTATGGACAGCTTTGTCATACTTTTCTTGAATTATTATGAAATGAAACCACACCATGTTAATTCGTCTGGCCAGTTAATTCATCTTTCCCCATTTCTGTCACAGATGGACTTTTGGTTCCTTGCCACTGTTGCCTCTGGCTTTCTTAGTTGGGTACACTTAATATTCAGCAATATTGTTGAATTGACTATGCAGATGATACAGAACTGAATATTTGCTAGAATTAATTAATGACATTGTATACCTTTATTAGTTTTTCATTTTATTTTATTATAACAAACCACACCGTAGCTACAGTACATTTACATGCACACAAATAATCTGTTAGTAATTGGATTGATGGCTCATTCATATTGAAAAGCCTTCATGAAAACACCTGAATTGATCCAATTGAACTTGATTGAAATTTCGATCAGATCTGATAAATGGGAAACAACTAAGCTTGACTATGACTATCTTCTAAATTAAATTCAAAAATACCTTGTATCTTGTATAGCGTCGTGATGCATATGTTTACTAGAGCCATTTTATTATAAGATTTCTGTTTACAGATGTTTAACTTCTTATGAGCGTGCATGTTTATTTACATCTTACAAACTGGTTAGTGAAAAAAATCGATATTTGCTATTAAAAGCTTTCATGACATTTTTCAGCTTTCCTTTTAGGTATGTCATCAAGGCAAAAATGACAATTATGCTGCGCTGAAGTTTTCTTCTATATACATACATGGACATGCAAACAAAAATGTCAATCATATTGCAAAGTTTAAGGTTTATATAAACAGAATCTAAAATCAGATTGAATTCATTCGGATTGACAAAAATTAGTGCATATATATAATAAAACCTATTACCTAGCATGTCATTCTTTTATGTGAAACACTTCAGTTGAATTACTTCATGAAAATCAGCATCAACAGGTATTGTGTGCGAAAGAGAAAGGGAGCCTACACTCTTAAAAATAAAGGTGCTTCAAAAGGTTCTTCAAGCGATGCCATAGAAGAACCATTTTTGGTTCCACAAAGAACCATTCAGTCAAAGGTTCTTTAAAGAACCATCTCTTTCTTACCTTTTTATAATCTGAAGAACCTTCTTTCGCCACATAGAACCATTTGTGAAACAGAAAGGTTCTTCAGATGTTAAAGGTTCTTTATGGAATCATTTAGACAAAAAGGTTCTTCTATGGCATCGTGAAGCACCTTTATTTTTAAGAGTGTAGCGCTCATTAACCACCTAATTCCAGGAAACAGCCCTGGGTCAGATATGATTCCTTTACTCTGATACGAGGTGATCTGAGAACAGATTTGATTTGATTTCACAGGTAATGAAGAAGAGAGTAAATCTATGGCTGACTCTCTGACGCTGATCCGGGAGCTGCTGTGCTCCGTGGACCAGCAGGTTCAAGAGTTAGAGCGAGCACAGCGTTTGCAGGAAATCCAGTCTCGTCTGGACCCGCGAGCCGAGACGAAAGTTAAGGGTGGAGGAGTGTTTGGTGGAGGAGAGCTGCTGCGCCGTAGATTCATTCACGAGGGAGCACTGCTCTGGAAGACTGCTCAAGGCTCCAGACTCAAAGGTGCCATTAGTGTTTTGTGTGTGAGTGAGTAAGTGAAATAGTTGGTACATTTGTAGATTTATCAGTGACTTTGTGTTTTGTCTGTATAGATGTGCACGTTTTGTTGATGACAGACATCCTGGTGTTCATGCAGGAAAAAGACCAGAAGTATATTTTTCCCTGTCTGGTGAGTCACAGCTTTCTGTTGGCTGACTATCAGTGAACACTCTGTTCTCCGTCATCCTACATCAAAATCAAACTGCCTAGACTGGAAAAATAATAGTTTGGGCTAGGCTCGGGCAATAAAACGAGATATAATTCTCCTTGATAAAATGATAACAAGAGTTTGATAAATGTTCGATATTATGTTATTAATGTAGACGTATTAAACATATTAAAGGAGTAATGGAATATAATTACAATATTTTTTATGCTATAGCAGTTGTGCATTTATAGTAAATGTATTTAGACTACTGTTTTTCGTACAAATAACTTGAAACCATGTGGATACATTTTTACCAGGTTTTAACTGTGGTTATCATGATCTAAATGTATGCTACTATGGAAGACCAATTTTTAATTTTAATAAAACTCAAATTTCACCATATAAAAATGAGTTTGGTACAATTTTTACAGATGCTACTATTTGTAATAATGAACATAAATTTACATCTGCACCCTACTGTCAACTCAAACGACTGTCAAACGTGTCAGAGACAAAAATAAAATACAATTTAATATTACTAATATTGCAGCCTGCACTGCAAACTGTGCTGAACATATACAGGTAGATCATTGAAGTCAGACAACACACACCTGTTTCATGATTTGAAACAATATCAATGCAGAAACTAAGAAATACTTTTTTTATATTAAGATGTTTATTTTGTTAAGGAAAAATGACTTGAAATGTGTAAACAATTCAAAAAGGTATAAAATGTTTGCCATGTTCTGATCATAAAGAGTAGTTTAAAACCACACTTAATGGTCTGGTTTCTACAACTTTCACTTGGGAGCAAAAATCTGCCTTTAAACTTGAAAGAAATAAAGATTTGAAATGTATTGTTATAATTATCAATATCGACTAATATGAAAAAATGTATTGTGATAATTTTTTTGGCCATGTCGCCCAGCCCTAATTTGTTTCAGCCTTTTTTCTCAAATTATTTTTATGGTTTACTTCAAACATTTCATTTTGATTGAATATTAATAAAAAATACGTCTTTTCCCACAGACAAAAACATTTATACAAAGTAAAAAGATTATTTATTATAAAGACCATAGACCATACTCAATCAATATATTTTCTTTAGACATGTGCCAAAATGTTACTTTATGTAACTTTGTCACAATTTTTTTTTTAATTTTTAAACTTAATTTCTCTATAAACAAAAGCTGGATTAGCTACAATATGAAGGTAGAATTTTCAAACTAAAACATTTTGTTAGTCAATGTTTAATTTAGTTTACTCTAAATAAAGACGACTTTGAAAGACCTTAATGTTCAATGTGATGTGTTTTTAAAATATGCATCATATTTTTTTATGAACTACTATGAACTCACTTTTTTCAGTGCATATCTTTCTCTTTTCACAGGACAAACCGGCAGTACTGGGCCTTCAGAATTTGATTGTGAGAGATATAGCCAATCAGGAGCGAGGAATGTTCCTCATCAGTCACTCCACACCTCCAGAGATGTACGAGCTGCACGCCGCCTCCAAAGACGACAGAAACACTTGGATGAAACTCATTCAGCAGACAGTGAGCAAGTCAGAGTCAATTCACAATTCTTTGCCCCAACATCTCAATGCACCGCTAAAATATCTCTGCACAAGCAACACCAAACACTTCATCACTTCATCTCTGTATTTCTCTTATGCAGCTGTCCATCAAGAGAGGATTTCCCTCTGATTGAAACTGAGGACAAAGCTTTGCTACGACAACTCAGAGGTTTGTATCAAAATCTGTTGTCAAACCACCTTAGCTTTGCTCAGTGTTTTTTTTTTTCATTTTTGTTTCGTATCTTTCTCTCTCTAGCTGATATCCAGCAGAAGGATCGTGAAGTTTTGGAGCTGTTACAGGAGCGTGTGACATTGTTCTCTGATTTGGCCGAGGCCACCGGAGGTCAGAATGTTAACGTTCCCACAAACTCCAGAAATATATTCCGAGCAGATACGCCCTACGCTCCCCAGGCGGAAAAGCTACTGAATGACGCCTTTGTTGAGGGTAGGCAGAGGAGTGTACAGCGTTATAGAGAATACAGCTAATGAAGGACATTAACACTGCTTTCTTATTTATTTCACAATTCAGTGGACAGACTGAGTGAAGTGCTGTTGGGTTCCTGCATTGAGTGTTCACAGTCCTGCAGATTGAACGGTGAATCAACAGAGGTGCAATTCATCTCTAAAACAACAGGTACCATATTTGTCATTGGCATACATTGTGATCTATGTTAAAATATCTTTATTTTTAATGATCTACATGTTAATTATCTAAAGTACACTGTTTCTTAATCTGTATTTTGGTCTTGTTTTTACAGTAAAATATTAACATTAAAAAATACAAAAAAATTATTAATATTAAAAATATAATAAATTAAAAGTCTATAAAAATATACAGATACTAACATTACAGCATTATTGAAACAAGGTTTAAGAGTAGTTCCAGAGACTCATTTCATTCTGTTACATTTATTGTTCTTATACCAGTGGCAATTCGTTTTTAAGGATATACGTCTAACAAAATGTAGTGAAATTAAAACTAGGGAAAAAAACAACAACTATTTGCCATATTTTACAGTATGTGTACTTACAGTGTACTTACCTAAGAAAGTACTGGTAATATAAGGTAACTACATGAGGTAAGTACCTAGTTATTGTAATTACTATAATAAGTACATAGAATGTACATGAGGAACAGGACTGTAAAATAAAGTGCTACCCAAATTTTATATACTGTTGCTTAAAGTAAATAGTAAATATATCATGTTTTAAGAATATTCAGATAATTTCTTCTGGGAAATAATGCATTTGTGACCCTGGACCACAAAACCAGTCATAAGGGTCAGTTTTGAAATTGAGACTGAATAAATAAGCTTTCCATTGATGTATGGTTTGTTAGGATAGGACAATATTTGCCCGAGATACAACTATTTGAAAATCTGGAATTTGAGGGTGCAAAAAAATCAAAATATGAAGAAAATCACCTTTAAAGTTGTCCAAATGAAGTTCTTAGCAATGCATATTACTAATCAGAAATTAAGTTTGAATATATTTACAGTAGGAAATTTACTAAATATCTTCTTGGAACATGATCTTTGCTTAATATCCTAATGATTTTTGGCATAAAAGAAAAATCAATAATTTTGACCCATACAATGTATTTTTGGCTATTGCTACAAATATACCCCAGCGACTTAAGACTGCTTTTGTGCTCCAGGGTCACATATATGTATTAGGACTGATGATTTATTAAAAAGAAGTTACTAATTTATTTTTGGGGTTTCTGTAATTAATCCCGATTAATCCCACCTAACTTTAACATTTGTTATAAATATATGTCACATTTGTGACAGTAAAAGACAGTATTAACTGGGCATTGTAGTTTGTCATATACACGTATACATGAATTTAAGCTTATTTTGCTTATATTGTATTATATTGTCCCCATGACATTGTGGTATTTTCAAAAGGGATTGAAGATAATTAAGCTATGAAATAAAACTCCAACGTTTCCTCCTTATCTCTCGTATTTCTTTCCTTGAAATAGATAAAGGAACGATATCAGTTAACGGAACCCATGAAAGAAACAGTCCATCTAACAAGGTAAAGGTCTGATATTTTACATAAAAATGTTCCTCTGCTGACATTACAATACATATTGGATTGAGGATTCATTATTATTATTATTATTATTTATTATTACATTTCACAGGACAGGAATGGAAACCAGCTGCAGGACAAGATGCTGAATGAGGTACACCTTAAGGAATCTTTAAAAAATAATAACATTGAAGGCAAAAACAAAGATAACTGTCTGAACTATTTGTGTTGTAGGAGGTGTGCCAAAGACTTGTGAACCTCAGCACTCAGCTTCATGCACTACAGGTGAGATTTAGACAGAGAGGTGTGCTAAATGGTGAGATTTCAGACAAGCATGTGCTAAGTGACTCGTTGTTGCTTTGTCTGTAGGCTGCAGTGATCAAGCAGGACTCAATCCTGGAGGTGTACATGCAGAAGGACTTGTGTCCCACTACAGCAGCAGTGCTCAAGGCAGGTGGTCCTGAGGGTACTCAAGGAGATCTGGCAGAGCTACAGAGCAAATACAACCTGCTGGAAGGAGAAGTGATCCGATTACGGGCCGCCCAGGACAAGACGGGCGATAGCGCGCCAATTCAGCTTGTAAAACAACTCCAAGAGCTGCGGCTTAAAGACACAATGGACACACGTGACACGTTGATCTCACAGGAAACAGCAGTTCAGGTGGATGGCATGCAAGCGGACGACAAGATGGCGATATTTCCTCGAGCTGACAGTCCCAGAGGTGAGTCCTCTTAAAACAGTTCTCAGTTGTGCAGCATTCCTTTCCCTTTTCTCCCCTGCACACTATCTTACTATTTATTACTCTGGGAGCATGTAATGTCTTGCCTCTCTTTCTTGGTTCTTGTCCTTGTCTTTGTAGTGGAGATAAGTGCAGGTGTTCTGTTAAAGGCACAATATGTACGTTTTCGCCGCTAGAGGGCGAGTATTCAAAACGAACCAAAAAAAAGGCGTAGTTTGATGACGCCGTGACTGAGTGTGGAATCATGGGAATTGTCGTCTTCATCCCCACAGCCGACGCAATCCGACGGGACTCGGGCAGAAATCATGTTCATGGTTGAGCTAATGATTTATTAACGTAGTAGAATGAAGCAGGGTGAAGCTGAAAGCCGTCGAAGCGAAACGAGGCCACTGAACGAGCGTGACACACGGCTCGAAAGCAGCAGAGCTTTTATTATGCCACAGTCGAGCGCTTCCGCTCCTTCCGGTCGTGCGTATGTGGGGTAAAGCAGCGCTATTTTATCATACTAGATCCATTTGATCGTTCTGTTATAATGCTACTCTGTGTGGTCGTCACTGGTCTATTAAAACGCACAACATATTAAAGCGTCTTTAGTGTTTCTATGTTTTCTACAAAACAAAACCGGAAATTGAGGGTGTATGACGTCATTGGCAGGCGACACAATGACACTATGGACACGGTCCGTGTCACTAGTTAAAATTGCTTATTTCTCTGGATTTAAACATTCTTCGAAACATTTGGGATAATGTAAGTACACAAGTCAGCAAAATATATAAAACTGTTCTAGTAGTTTTTGGATATTTTAATAAAAAAATTCTTACATATTGTGCCTTTAATGAAAGTGATACTATTAAAACTTATCAATGGCTAAATTTCCATCTGCACATTTTAATGCAAATTTTGAGATATCAAGAGGTGGATATTTTTTTTTTCATTTAATAAGAAAATGTGCATAAAATATGATCGAAAAATATTGACTGAGTAAATTTTATGCACAACTCGACTTTGCCTCAAGCCTCAGTTTTCAAACTGGCATTTGTGCACCCCTAAGGGGTTAATAGTAGAATTGCATGGGGTTTGTGAGTTAAAAGGTAATAATTACCTCATAAATAGATTATTTTGTTTACCAGCAATGGTCATGTGAGTGTTAAGAATAGTTGACTCAAAAAGAACAATTTTGCTGCAATGAATGGGTGTTGTCTACGGAGCCCCTAAAGGGACATGGTGGTGGATAAAATATTTTTCAAATGTCTTGTATTCTCTCGCAAAGATATTGGCATTCCCTCACAAAACTTACGCATTTTTGTCCCCCATAGAAAAGCACGCTTAACTTTAATATAAAAAGACAGTGATAAAAAGCTATGCACAGAAAAGCAACGTGCCAAGAGTTTTTTTTTTATAATGTTTTGTCTACGGGGCTGAAAAGCATGAAACTGCGCGCTCCGTTCTGGGCTCATTTGCTTTTCTGTGCGTAATATAAACTGTAAACAAATTTGGTAATTTTATATCACCGTCCTCATTGATTATCCTACCTTAAGCGTTTTCTATGAGGGAGAAGAAGCTTAACGCACAGCGTGTTCTGGGCTATTCTGCTTTATTAATAGTAATATTATTAATGAAGTTTTTAATATTAGCTGAAATAATGTTATCAATATTTATTATTATCAAATTTGGTCCTCCAATGTCACTGTTTTAAAACATTAAGCCACATTAAGCGTTTTAGAATGTCCCAAAACCGTGCCTTGAACTTAACACTGACTGTATTTTTTTATACTTGATTCCAAGTTCAAAATAAAACTCTATGAACAGCTCCATTGTGGACATAAGGAGCTATAAACCACTGCAAGCTGTAAAGTAAACAAGAAGTGTTTGTCCGAACTCAGCTGGTTTTGCGAGGGTACGCAAATATCTTTGCAAGAGAAAGCAAAAGTTTTGTGAGAGAATGCAAAATTCTACCAGCTATCCAGTGCATTGTGATTGGCCGAATTTCTCAAGCGTGTGACGGAAATGTTACGTCCCTTACCATATTGTGATGCCTGCGGCAACCACATGTGACGACCCCGGGCTGGACTCCGCTTCGTCCACGGTGAAAGCCGATCCGGCGATCCACAGCGCGAAGTTGTAGTATTTACTCAGCGACCAGCACGGATCAGCTCCAGGCATGACGAAGCGATATCGTCCTCTTTTGGAAGACCAAACAAAGTAGTTTCGCTTTCACAACGAATCACACAGCGCCTCATGACATGGTGGCGGCAACAACAATACTACAGCGAGAATAAAAGTTACCCCTTCTTTCTTTGCGTGAACATTTGGGTGGTGTTATGCAAATCTTCCCACATAGTGACGTAGACATGTGGGGGCGTGTTAGAACGAGCCGTTTTAGGTAGGCGTGGCTGACTCTTAACTTTTATAAAGAATATCTCTTTGGATTTGAGACTTTAGTCTTTGCAACTTTACAGATCTTCTTTATGCACCAAGAGCTTGTAACACTCCAAAGAGAAAGGAAAACTTGAAATCGCATCATATGACCCCTTTAAAAAAAAAAATCCTCCCACCGCAAATTTTTTCCACCACCATGTCCGTACTCCGTAGTTGTCAAAATGAGAGTTCAAACTGCTGATTGAGACACAATAATCCACAAGTAATTCACATGACTCAAGTCCATCAATTAACATCTTGTGAAATGAAAAGCAGCATGTTTGTAATAAACAAATCAATCATTCGAGTGTTTTTAGCTTCAAAGCTGTTGCTTACAGTCCTTAATCCATAATGTTGATATCTCCAGTGAAAAAGTAATCTTGTCTGAATCAGGTGAGAAATATGGAAAGGGATGAAATCAAGGACTTTTTTTTACTGAAAGGATCATTATTATGGATTATAGACTCCACAAGTGACTGCGGTTTTACAGTTGAGATACCTAAATGATTTGTTTCTTACAAACAACAAATTTTCACATTACAAGATGTTACCTGAAGGACTGGACTAGTCGTGTACTGTGATGATTTTATCAGCTGTTTGGACTCTCATTCTGACGGCACCCATTCACTGCAGAGAATCCATTGATACATTTTTATAAATCTGTTCTGATAAAAAAATTTACTCATCTACATATTGTAAACATTTAAAAAAAATAATAATTTTATGATACTTTGTGCCAGTTTCCCAGTAAGTAAATAATTGGTTCCCTTGAACAAACGGGATGGAAACATTATTGTTTATAGGCTAATGTTTTATGTGATATTCCACATTTTTGCTCATGCTTAATTCACAACTTTGGATAGAAATATAGAAAATGAGAATTATAAACTTTAAAAAAAATGCTTAATTTGATCACATTTAACAAAATGTTTTAATAAGATTTATCCTAATATTTAACCATCAATTTGTTCTCTGGTCTCCATCATATTGCATATAGAATCAGACCTCACAAACACACTCTGCTTTGTCTGGTTTTCAGATCTGCAGGATATTCCAGAGGAGAGTGAGTGTGGGACTGAAGCTCACAGTTAACATCAGCTCATCTGGAAGATCCTACCTTAGGGGCTGTTTACACGACAATGTTTTTTAGCCAAAAACGGGAAACTTTTTATGCGTTTTGCCTGTTCGTTTACACGACAACGGCGTTTTGGGGACTGAAAACATATTTTTGAAAACGGGTTTCAAAGTGCAAGTCTTTGAAAACGCCACCGTTATCGTTTCCGTGTAAACACCCAATACGGGAATCTTTGAAAACGGTGATGTCATGTGCATGCATAGTACGTGTTAGTTTTTTTTTGTTTTTTTGTAGTATGTGTTAGGTATGTAGACATGCGCAGTACATGCCGATTTTAAAGGCAAGCGCGAACAAACATACACAACAATGGCGCGGAGTACATTGTAATGGTGTTGCTGCTGAAGAGTTTGCTAACACTTCTTCAGCATAGTGTGGATTTATTTCACCAATATTACAACCAACAGCGGAGACGCATCATATACAACATATAATCGTCACTTCCCTACTGTTTACTAACAAGGTGACAGCGCCAACTACTGGCCTGGCATACGTAATACAGCATTTTTGTCCGTTTTCGCAGATATGCGTCAACGCGATTCGGTTTGAAACGTTGTCATGTATACGTAAAACTTTTTAAAAATGCAAGGGAAAAACCTTTCAGTTTTTGACTACATCGTTGTCATGTAGACGTAGCCTTAACCTCCTCCAAAACTCTAGAAACTCACCTCAGCAGTCAGCTATGACTCAAGGCCTGTTCACACCACGCCAAATACAGAAAAATCAGGTGTGGTTTATTTAATTAAAAGAAACTGCTGTTAAAGGGTTAGTGTAGCTTGCGCTCACTGTTGTAAATGGAAGCAGTTCCGGGAGAATTGTCTTTGATCTTTCAAGCTGTTTAATGGCAGTCAGCAGGTGTTGCATGCATCCGTCCAAAAGCAGTTAAATAAAATGCATCCATCCATAAAAAAAAGTGTCTCACACGGCTCCGGGGGGTGAACAAAGGCTTTCTGTAGCAAATCGATGCGTTTTTGTAAGAAAAATATCTATATTCAAAACGTAATAATCACTTTAATGTAGCTTGCGCTCACTGTTGTACACCGGAAGCAGTTCCGGGTGGATGACGTATGAGGTCAGCGCTGCGCATGCGCCGGTGAGTCTCGTGAAAACCAACGTTTGTTAACAGGAGCAAAGGAAGCAACGTTTCCTTACTTTAGCAAAGGAAAACCAGTCTCCTCTTGGCTAATATGAAAATCCTCTGACATTCTTCTTTACAAATCCTTGTTTTGTACTTCTAATAAGTGACCGTTGTTTTGTTTTGATCTCTCCGCTGCGTTTCCGCATTCGTCACTTCTGAGCGGCACATGCACAACGCCGACCTCATACGTCATTCCCCCAGAACTGCTTCCGGTGTACAACAGTGAGCGCAAGCTACATTAAAGTGATTATTAAGTTTTGAATATGGATATTTTTCTCACAAAAACACATCGATTCGCTACAGGAGGCCTTTGTTCACCCCCCGGAGCCGTGTGAGACACTTTTTTTTAATGGATGGGCGCATTTTATTTAACTTCTTTTGGACTGATGCATGTAACACCCGCTGAGTGCCATTAAACAGCTTGAAAGATCAAATACCATTTTAATATAACTCCGACTGGATTCATCTGAAAAAAGAAAGTCATATACACCTAGGATGACTTGAGGGTGAGTAATTTATGGGCTAATTTTCATTTTTGGGTGAACTAACCCTTTAATGCATCTGACACTAACATTTACATGCTGGCAATGTGGCAGATATTTTTTTATGAATAGGGAATGTAATTCTCTTTTCTGTCTAACTGCACATAACACTGGTGGTGCTCATGAACAGACTATTTTGCTAAACAACAGTGAATAGCAGAGGGAGACGTCTGAATCTTTTCTCTGTCTCTGTATTGTCTTGTATTTGGTGTTGCTTGATAAACACCATAGTGAGGGCTGTTTCAAAAACATGTAAATACTGTTTTAATTTCCTGTCTTCACTGTAAAAATCAGCTGTCTCAAACAACACAACACTTTGTGTACTGGAGTAACCAGGGTAAGGCTGCTTTTTCTATAAGCGCCTCCTTCTCTCAGAGAGTGATTTAGCATTTTCGTTCAGCCCTGCCTTTTTTACATATTGGTTTGAACAGACAAAATGCAAAAATTTGACCAAATTTGTGTTGGTGTGAACAGGCCTTTACGCTGTAGAATAATGTTATTGCATTTTATATTAAACATAGTATAGAACAATGAAGTCTTTTTATCAAGATTTTCAATGTTTTTGTAAACATTGTCTACATTATTTTACAGTTGTTATTTAAATGGTTAATGGTGTATTTTTTTAATGAAAGGACTAAATACCGAGTTGGAACAGAAGGAAACATTAGAAGATATTCTGTTCTCGTGCTGGCTTCCAGTTTTAATATATCAATTGTCAATTTTAGCTGTATTGTCCCATGTTATATTATTGGAAGGATGTGTCATTGGACATGATTTTCTTCTGCTGAAAATAAGTGATATTATGGTAAAGATGAAATGTATGAAATGTAGCACATTGAATGCCCTGCTCATTTGGCAGCAGCTTAAAAAAGACTTTGAATGCAGTTATAACTACAGTTTGCCTCCTATAAATGATAATAAATGTTATGAACAGTGGAGGTTTTCTCTTGTACTGATAAAAAAAAAGTTATTAATATTGATATTGATAATGGAATGAAGTGGAAAAAGATTGTAAATTCTTTTCTGGCCACTTGAAATCACACTAAAGCTTTGTTTAATGGCACACTGTTGATATTGTCTATGTATAAATGTTTGAATGTAAGAGGAAGAACAGCGCCCTTTAAACATAGCTGTTAAATCATTGTTTATATATTGCATTTTTTATTCAGTTTTCATTGTACTGTGTGCTTAAATATATGGCTGTAATCATGTAATATGTCATCTATATAAATGCATTGATAACTGCTTTATTGTATTTCTTTAACTACACAACACATTAACATCTGAACATTTTCCAGTCAAATGAAGCACAAATGTTCTGCCATCTCACACTTCAACCCCACAAAGTACTAAACAAGACAGAACGACAGTTCACAAAACAAAAGTCTGGCGGTTTCAACTTCTCGTTGTGGACGATAACCCAGGTAAGTAAAGGCAATAATAAAGTTTAATAAAGATATGATTTCTGTAATGTGATTAAAATGACATTGTATACAAATAGTCAGTTGAACTATTTAAAAAGAGATAAAAGAAAAGATAGGACATCACTTGAATTGATGGTAAATGTGAAGCTGACTAATAATCCATCTGATGTGGCCGAAGCACTTAATTATTACTTTGTTGACTCGGTAGTCACAATTGCACAATGTTTCTCTCCTAAGTATACAGACGTTTGTCTGGTTAATACAGTGGAACAAGCCCTTACTTTAAGGGCAGTCTCTGAATTAGATGTCAGAAGAACAATTACATCTCTTAACCCATCTAGAGCAAAGGATATATTTGGTATGGATGTAGTAATGCATAAAGAGCTTAGTGAGTCACTAGTTAATCCTATCACTAACATATCAACCTTTCAGTTTCTCAGGGGATGTTCCCATGTGCTTGGAATTCATCTGTTATTGTGCCTATGTTCAAAAGTGGCGATCCTCACTCTGCTAATAATTACAGACCTATTAGTATTTTACCTATAATAGTCTCAAAGGTTGCAGAGAAATTGATGGCTGCACAAATCACTAATTATTTGAATAATAGTTCTTTTGATTTACATCCAATGCAGTTTGGCTTCAGAGCAAACTATTCAACTGAGATGGCAAACTGTTATTTCACTGAAAAAGTTAAGTCTCTATTAGATAAAGGAGGGGATGTTGGGGGCAGTGTTTATTGACCTCAGGAAGGCTTTTGACACTGTAAACCACAGAAGTCTTATGTCTAAATTATTAGGTATTAATTTTTCTCCAGATACTTTAAGATAGATTGAATCATACTTGTTAGGTCGCACACAGTACACTCTTAAAAATAAAGGTGCTTCAAAAGGTTCTTCAAGCGATGCCATAGAAGAACCATTTTTGGTTCCACAAAGAACTATTCAGTCAAAGGCTCTTTAAAGAACCATCTCTTTCTTACTTTTTTATAATCTGAAGAACCCTTTTTCGCCCCAAGGAACCTTTTGTGAAACAGTAAGGTTCTTCAGATGTTAAAGGTGTTTTATGGAACCATTTAGACAAAAAGGTTCTTCTGTGGCATCGTGAAGCACCTTTATTTTTAAGAGTGTATGTTAGTATACAGAATTATAAGTCAGCCCCCCTAAGTATATCCACTGGTGTTCCACAAGGATCTATTCTGGGTCCTTTGCTTTTCACATTGTACAGCAATGATTTCCCATCCGTCTGTCCTAACACTAACATCCAAATGTATGTCAGATTTTAGATTTATTCGTGATTATATGTCATCTGAGGCTGCTTTGATGTATGTGCATTCCATGATTATTTCTCATATCACTTATTGTTTAACTACTTGGTCGCAAGCTAGTATAACTACTCTGAAACTCTTGATAAGAAATCAGTTCAGTTTCATCATTGCTCAATACTAAAAAAATATAATTTGCTAAGCTGGGATAACCTGATCAAATATGTACATATCGGTCTACTGTTTAAGACTATACATAGCCTGACTTCACCATTAAAACAGTTTGTGAATATTAGAACAACTGCTCACCGGTCTACAAGGGGTGGGAAAGAGGGGACTATTCCTCTCAAAAGATGTAAATTTAGTCAGTCTGTATTCTCAGTCAAAGCGGCAAGGGAATGGAACAACACGCCATCAACAATTTTAGAAGACTATACATATAGTTATTTTCGGTTTCATTTTAAAAAATGGTTACTGACAACTCAGCACTGTCAACTGTATTCTTGACAGTAGACTTCTTTGTACTAATTGCTCTTGGCTTTGTTGCTTTCTCCTGTCGCCATCTTTCTCTCTCTCTCCTTTTCCTTATATTTGATTTGTCTAGATAACTACTTATATTTGTATTTTAGTAGTGATTTTTATTGTGCATTCATGTATCTGTATTTTTTCAGTATTTTACTTTTTACTCCCTGTTCTTTGTAGATGTGTATATGCG